AAGGAGAAACTCATCTTTTTCAAAGAACCAGTGAGAATGTTGCAGACCAGTCTTGAAACACTGCCTATACTTATGTACCTACACAGAAAAACAACTGCAGCTGTCGGATACTAAAGGTAGTATTAGAGAAAATAAAGAAATGTAATTCAGATTAGGCTATATTTTCAATGAAGAAGAAAATGTCATACTGGCCACATGAACCTGGTTTTTATGACGTTTTCGCATCAAGACTGGACTTGGTTGGTTTTGCTACTTTTAGATATACCTTCACATGCTGCTTACTACAACATAAGCACAGTCATAGAACCCGAACCTTAAAGTCATTCGCAGCCACCAGTGATGAATGGCTTAAACTGGTTCAAATCCACGTCATTGAATTCGGCTCGGCTCCTCCTCAAACTCCTTAACTACAGATCAGGGCAGATGTGTAGCATGGCCTCCTCCGGCTTCAGCCTCCTCACACAGTCGGCTAATTGCAATCATCTTCAGCTGGACATCTGTCCACGCCTGACAGGCCGTGGCCGCAAAGCAAACAGAGAAAAAGTTCAGATCTCCGTTTGCCCTCCTGGCGGGTCAACACTAAAAAAAAAAACAACAAAAAAAACATGCACTACCCACAGCCCGCACCCCCAGCAGCGATGGAGCAGTACCTTTCTAATCCTTCAGAACACAATCTGAGTGTAAATAGCTGAGACATAATTTTATATATATATTCTGAGAGGGAATTTCAAGGCTGGAAAAGCCATGTCTATTTTTGTTAAAGAACAAAGTGATAAAATAGTCCTCTTGAATGTCCGATGAGTATTCTTTTAACACGTCCTAATGCGTCTTTATCAAGTGAGTGATTGTATCTGGATCTGACTCGTGTATGCACCGCCATCTGTCAAAAAGGGAAAAACCTCAGTACTGAATCATATATGAAGGAATGAAGGAGAAAAAAAAAAGAAAATAAGAAACAATCATGTTTGGAGTTTAAAACGTACCTGAGCATTTCTTTTTGTACAGTGTTCCTTACTGTTGTATATAAACTGAAAATGTTCAAAGTGAAGATAAAAAAGATTTTTTTGTTTTGTTTTGTTTCCTTTCTCTCCCGATTCGTAAATGGCATGGATATGTATATCTGAAACGAAACGGAGTGTCGTCTTCTGCTTCTGCCTCATCGAGTTCCACAATCTCACAAAGCACGTAAATATTAACTAACTTGTGTGAACTATCTGCTCAGTGAAGTCATGTGACAATGACTAAATCCTAGCCTTTTTGTTATTATTATTTTATGAGTTGATCTTCATTCAGAAGATTAGTAAAATCATCCATCCATGTTGATTCGAAAGAACCATTTATTTCTGAACATCGGTTTTCAGTCATGGTTCTTGAATGTAAGCAGATGAGATACCTCACTTTAACCTGCCCAGTTTCTTCTTCTCAGCAGTAAGGCGCTCCGTTTGAAGTTATTTCTGGAATTTTTTAAAACTCCTTTATAAACTTAAAAACGCTTCCTGAATGTATTAAAAGTCAAGAAGATAGAGCTGATTTTGCCGGTGTTTAACACAATGCAACAGATTGCACACATTTTCAGCTGGTCTCTGTAGGACTCTGTACAAAAGGGTTGCCCTCATATTTTAATTTTTCTATTTCATCGTCTTTATGCTTTACATATTCCGGATCATAATGCTCTTATGCTGGATATGATATTGATGTCTGCTAACAAATGTTTAATTAGCATTTCCTGTAGAGATTTTGTCACAGAATATTAAATATTATAACCATTGTCTTTCACTTATGATTTGTATTGTTGTTTTTTGTGTTTTGCTGTAGCAGAAGAACAACTTAGCGCTTCTCCGTTACAGTCACTACAAGCCTAAAGTTTGGAAACTTCAGATTCATACAAAAATGTCAAACTGATTGGTTTATTTAGGCGGAAAATAAACAATTAATACATCAAAAATAAATCTTACTATAGTTTTGTTCGTTGTTTTTTTTTTTTTTACTGCTTGGGACTTTTCCTTTTCGATAAATGTTTGGTTCCTGTTTCGTAAATTGTGTATCTCAGTGGAAGCAATCTGATCAGAAAATTTGAATAAAACAAAGTTTAAAAGAACGCCTGATAGATTAAAGTTATGGCGTACTCAGTCCTGAGGAACTTGACTTGAATTTTGGCGAGCTGAAAGTCCTTATTGCCGTCCACAAGGAGGGTTGCCCACAGAAGGCCACGGTTATTGAAGGTGGATGTTCTGTGCGTTGTTTCCAGGTATATTAATGGAAAGTTGAGTGGAAAGAAAAAATTACGTAACAGAAGCGAACACAACAGGGATAACTTTTGTGCACGTTACCCTTCAAAGTGAGTTCAGCTTCCTACCAGGAAAGTTAAGAACAGTTCATGCTTTCCTCTGTTGACAAGTTTTTTTAGGGTTCATATTTCATTTTCCAGCACAACTTGGCGCCTTGATTGGCCAGAAAAGTTTAATGCATCTACTGATGTTGATGCGTTGCAGAACCACAGGATGTCTTGTCTCCATGCTGACCTGCACTGACGCAGTAACTTTTCCAAACCTATACAGTAATGAAATATTTTATAGTAGGTTAAAATTAGCTTCAAATATGTCATTCTATATAAATCCGACTTTCACTTTTTGAATTAACATAAAAATGTACTTTTCAGTGAAATTTAGATTTACCTATGCGTTTCTAAAGAAGACCAAGTGTCCCACAGCAGGAGCCGTTTTTCCTCTTCACTTCTGCCTTCCAGACTCTTGAAGACAGCCAGTGAAAAGGCCATTTTGTCCAGGCCCATTGTGCTCCAGAGGCTGCTCTATTTTTAGGCGTTCAGCATTCAGTCGACGTGACAATGGCTTGCCATTTCGGCCCCGGTAGCTGCAGCGGCCGCTCTGATCCAAGAGGGTACAAAAGGAAAGTTTTAACAACCCCATGTGTCTCTTTGGTTCACAATAACTTGTCTAAATCCGACCTCCTTGCATGCGCCTCGCCGTGAGATGATGCCGCTTGGCAGCTGCTCGGAGGTTCATCCACACAAGCGTGTGTGTGACAGTGGGAGGCCCGGGTGCGTGAAGGCCTTTCAGCGCCTCCCTTTATATAGACGAAACACCTGTGGCCTCACCTCCTAACCCCGGCCCGCTTAGCTCATTTTCACACACTGACGCTTTTCTTGACCGGCGGAGCCTCAAGTGACACCGGATGACTTGTTAATGATGCACTGAGACGTGGCACATTGTAAGGACGTGTTCAGTGTCACACTTTAGTATGTCGCGCCTGCTGCCGATGACATCCTCAAAGCTTTGTTTCAAATGCTCTGCTATGCTAACAACACTGCTCCTTAGATGAAGAGTGGCTTCCCCTTAAGACGTCCGATAATATTTCTTTTCAGTATATTTTTCTCTTTGCTTTTTGCTATGTTAAAATAAGTGCTCGACTTTGGGCATCTTTGTCTTTTTGCTTGCTTTATAACTACTTCAGGTTCAAAATTTGATGGTTTATGCCAGAATATACCGGCCATTCGTCATTTTCTGAAGTCATCAACCCAAAAATTCACAAATTAGAAGAATTGTACAGTTTTTATTGTGATTTAAAAAAAAAAAAAAACACTACCTACCTGTGTTTTTACTGTCTTTTTGGAAATGAAAACAAAATGCATCACTCAATAGTTTCTCTAATGGCTAAATCACAGGAGCTGCATTCAGGTTATAGTATGCACAATGTGTCACACTATTTACATCACTGTTAGGGGAGAGAGGTAAGCCAACACCAGTGATGTGAAGAAGCTGGTGTGAAATGTGAGCAAGTTTGGCTCTAACTCAGTCCTGACAGCTCAGTAAATTACGTGTAATGACCTGGTGAATCTCATCCCTTCGTCCAAAGGGAACAAAAATGATTGGTGCTTGTATCAATGAATCAAATCAAGAGTTTATTATGATGTTAGTGAGAGTCCGTGACTTCATAGGGCTAATTCAGCCTTCATGAGGCTGAAAGTTGTCAGAGCTTTAATAAGTGTAAATCTTTGAGGCGTAGATTCTCAAATGAGTTTCACTTTGAACCTTCTCCCCCCGCCCCATTTGTGAATCTGGCTCATTGTTTCCTGACACATTTTCCAAACTAATGAGCTTTTTGAAGAAAATGTATTCAAGACAAGCTCTTAAAGTTGATGTCATAGCATAGGAACATTTAAAAAAGCTCTGTTTGAAATCAGATCACCTCCTGCAGCAAAACGACAGTCACACCAGTTTTGTTTTCATTTTAAGTCTCAGACCTGTGGCACAACTCGTCACTATGAGCATTAAGAAGACATTTTATTTTAAATAAATAAAAATAGGAAATGTAATGATTTTAATTGAAGATCTACAAGTTGATTTTTAGGTGAATTTTATCTAAATATGTATGTCCATCATTCAGAAAAACATTAACTACAACAAATGCACTTATACAATGGCAATGGAAATGTGATACTGGTATTGTGTCTTAGATCCACTGACTTAGACAAATAAAGCAAAATGATAGGTTGGTTGAACAAAAACAAAACTATAAAATCATTTTTTTTGTCAGGAAGTCAAATGTTTTTGATTAAAATAATATTGCTGACTTATTTTTTCATGCATTCGGTGGAGGTTTGACTGCTTCCTGTCCACCTTTGCTGTAATTTATGCAGAAAGAGACTGAACCACATCATAAACACCACAGCAGATTTTATCCTATTAAACTTTGAAATATCAAATTTTCAGACAGAAAATGATCAAGCGTGTTCAACCTTCAGCCTGCTCTTGTTGTTCAAAGAGGTCGGTTCCTCCGACCTCTTTGTCCTGTGTCCATCTAGACGACATGGAGAGATGCCCGTCGTGTTAGCGCTGTGTTTTTCCTCTGAGAGCCCGCAGCACTATAAGTGTTGTATAAAGCGTCATTTACCTGTCACTTCCTAAAGAGGACATAGTTTATAAATATCATCCAGTGGAGATGTGGCTAGGGGACTACAAAAAGGCCACCCACAATCGCCTCCATTGTTCACTGGCACCACTGTCAGTCTGACATCCCAGCTGCTCAGCCATGGTAAGTCGGCGTGTCTGACATGTTTGTTACTGTAAGAACAGGTGCGTTTTCTTGGCTTCGGAGTTGCTGCTGTCAAGAGTGGACAGGTGATGGCAAATAACTCTGTTATATCGTGGAAATAAATTTTGTCCTTTCATTCGTAATTTTTACTGGCTACCAGGTGGAAGCGTGTAAAATGTGCCTGTTGCATCCTTAAAGTGATCTTTGAAGGACACTTCAGCTGATTAAGGTGCTGTTTAAAAGCATCTAGTTTATGCTTTTTCTTTATTCGTGCCAAAAGGCCCCCAAAAAAGCCAAGAAGAGGGCGGCGGAGGGAGCCAACTCCAATGTGTTCTCCATGTTTGAGCAGGCCCAGATCCAGGAATTCAAAGAGGTGAGTGCTGCTCACAATGATTCAATTCCCTCTAAAACCCAAACCTCTCTGCACAGCCCGAACACAGTTCACACACACACACACACCGAGGACTCCAGCTACTTTCCCTCCTTGTCTTTCCATTTCTATTGTTCGCGGCCTCAGTATGCCCACCTGTCTATTTTCATGCCTCGGGCTTGGCAACAGCGGAGCACGCGGTATGCTGGTATGAAGGTCGGCGGTGCCCAAACATTCAGACTGTGTCATCGGCGATTAGGCCGCAGATGAACGGCTGCGCGTGCCCCGGATGCCGCGCGCAGTCCTAATGGGGTTTACAAGTTATAAATACTTAAGTCTTCATCTGTGAATGCAGTTCAGAAAAAAAGAAAAAGCATTTAAATTCAGAGTTTAAGCATTACTGTTACAGAGATGGCTTGAAGCAATCGCATTTTTAAAACTAAAGTCATGGAGCTTTCTCTCTGCTCTGATCTCAGGCCTTCACAATCATGGACCAGAACAGGGATGGCTTCATTGACAAGAACGATCTGAGGGATACCTTCGCTGCTCTTGGTTTGTCGGCACACATGTTGGAGGATCACGGGGAGAGTCGTCTTTAAGTGCTGACGATCCGTCTGCTCATTATGTAGTGTGTTTGCTCCCAAAGGACGTCTGAATGTGAAACAGGAAGAGATCGATGACATGCTCAAAGAGGCGCCTGGTCCCATCAACTTCACAGTCTTCCTCACAATGTTTGGTGAGAAGCTGAAAGGTAAGAACATAAACGGCGGTTAAGCTACTCCAAGTTATCTTTCTGCGTTGACGATGCACTGCAGAAATGAGATGGAAAGCATTTCCAGTCAGAGTGATTCTGATTAGAAGTAAAGCGGCCTTTTGAAAAAAGGGACCAGTGACGCATCCAGAAACGTATTCTGTTGCTTCTGACGATTTTTCCAACTTCAGTCAGAGCAGAGGACGTTAACATCTCTACATCCAGGCTTCAGAGTAATACCACATGCATAAAGGTGATACTGTTCACACAGTAGGGTCCAACGTGTTGGAAAAACAAACCAGACTTGACCGCAGTCACTCCTTCAGGTTATTTTATGAATGAAGAAACTAAATTTTTGGCATCACACAAAAACAAAATGGCTTCACTGATTGACTGCTTTGGTTCAATAGGCTAACAGCTGTAGGAAGAAAACCTGACGTTGCTTCTCTGCTTCAGTTAAAACCCCCACAATCCTGCACAACATGGCCAACCCTGGAACACATAAACGAAATTAATATATGCTAATAATATTCGTCTAGTTTTAGCAACATGTAAAAAAAAAAAAAGATGTGCCAACATCAGCCGAAACAGATGTTCTTATGAATCTTATAGCTGTGAAATAGAATCTTATTTCAGACATACTGGCCTACTTCTCTAACTGTAAGAAGAGCAACTAAATAACCTAAATAATCATTAAAGGTAAGTGTGTTTGAAGAGTGGTGACGGCTGCTTTAATGACTCCAGGTGCGGATCCAGAGGAGACCATCCTCAATGCGTTTAAAGTCTTCGACCCCGAGGGAAAAGGCATCCTGAAGAAAGACTAGTAAGTGTCAGGAGGACGCACTCTTAACTCCACATGAGTTTGCAAATTCATTGAAAGCAAGGCTGCATTCGCTTCCTCTCACTGTTTATGACACTGGCTGCTGCAGTTGTTCATCCCAGTTCACAATGACTGTCGCTCTGAAGACTCTTATTTTTTTTGCCCTTCTCTTTCCAGCGTGACACAGATGCTAACAACACAGGCTGACCGATTCTCCTCTGAAGAGGTACATTGTGGAGTTTTGCGCTAATTGTCGCCATTATTGCCGGTTCCCGGGTGGGAGTGGGTGACTCTGAAAAAGAATGGACGTCATTATGACGGTCACACGTGTCCACGTCAGGCACATTTTCTTCCGGAAAAATGAAAAAAAGAAAAGAAATGAAAGTCAAGAAATGGTGGTGAATCATCCCAGCTTTTGGTGCAGATTGAGTGATGAGGCGTTCTCGTGTGTTTTGTTGGTTAGATGGAGCAGATGTTTACCGCCTTCCCCCCTGATGTGGCTGGAAACCTGGACTACAAGAACCTGGTGCACATCATTACTCATGGAGAGGAAAAAGACCAAGAGTGAACCTTTTTCATCATGTTTTTTTTTTTTTAGTTACTCTAGAGGCTGAAAGTGAGAACTGCAAGCTTTTTGCTTATATTAGCTTTATTGCTTCTGTACAGTCAGACTAAAAAAAAATCAAAAACCACACTTCCAAAATATTTTCCTCAAAACAAATACAATCAGCTTGGAGTTTTATTGCAATAAGATGTTTTGGGGTTTTTTCTGTTTTATTTGCAATATATTTTTTAGACTAATTATCATATTTTTACCCTAATTTTGTAGACCAAAAACTACTATTGTCTGTTTTACGGTGCAGTGCCTTCAAACTTATTCACATCCCTTGAGCTTTTCCGCTGTTTGCCTTGTTCCCTACGAACATCAGTGTTATTGGCATGCCAACACAATCGTGCATAACAGTGAAAACAGAAAGAAAATTATGCAGGTTTTCAAAGTTTGGTTGTTTTTTTTTTTGTTGTTGTTGTTTTTCCAAATAAAATTCTGAAAAGTGTGTCATGCATTTTCAGTTCACCCATTACTTTGGTTCCCATGAGGGCAAACAGCTTCCTTCAGAAGCCTCCTAATGAGTTAGCATGAACATACCACCCCCACTGTGGCGAATGGTAGTGGAAGCAACACGTAGTAGAGATGCTTTTCCTGAGCTGGGAAAAAAAATGGCTCTAATTACCAAAAATCATTGATGTTTGTTGTTGTAACTTGGCAAAAAAAAAGTGGACAAGTTTAAGGGGCGAGCACTTTTGCAAAGGACTAAATGGAGTGTATGCATGTAAAAATAAACTTACTTAAACACAGCTACCAGCCTGTGTTTCTAACACCTGTGCATCATTAAATAACGACACCAGAAGTTCCTGTTAGTCACAGATTTATAGGTGAACTTGGGAATAGCAGCTTTTCTGTTCATCTTTAATCCCAGAGAGCTGAATCCAGAGACCACACTTGATGTTGGAGATGTACAGTGTGGAAATGTACTGCATAGTGGGCTCTTAACAATATGTGATTGCTGAAACACAAGTCTTTACTCACACAAAGGCCCGTTGTTATTTTGGCGTTGAGCTGCTGTGATGACTCTAAGCTCTCGAATGGATGACTCGGTCTTCATCTGTCTCACTTGTCAGACCTACTACTGCAGAGCATTGTCGCGAAATCTCTGGCTGCTCCAGCTGAAGTTGATGGTGAAGGAGCCTCAAGCAACGAGCCCTTTTGGCGATGGATGAGGGTTTAGATCACGTTTTGTGTTTAAACGTTTGACATTCTGCAGAGAAAGGGAGAGAGAGAAAAAAAAGACATTTTCGTATTCAGATTAAAGCATGGACATCCTGGTGGCTTTGAGGCTTAGTCAGGTCTGCTTCTGCTTTGTGTAAAGTCACGTGGAACTGGACTTGATATGAGTGTCTGTGGGTGTCTGGCAGGATAAAAAATTGAATTTATTAATCATTCAAAACTCTTCGCGGATTACTGCACGCTCGTAAATAAAGCTCCTTAGGATCCCCTCTATGTTGGAAATGCAATTCTTATATATTTTCAGACCGAACAGCAGGACAAATCCAAAACAGGAAGCACAAATAAGTTATGGCAGCTGATGGCAGGTCCTAACTAACACACAGAAACACAATGAACTCAGCGCTGAAGTCAACCCACACAAAAAAGTCTTGGAATAAAATGTTCCATGATGCATTTTCAATTTACTTACTGGAAGAAAAAGACTCTAAAGAAACCTTTAACCAAAGTAAGTACATTTTACTCATACCTTTTTCACAAAATGTTTCACAAATAGAGTTTGACCATTATTTAAGAAGCAATTAGCAAAAAAAGATGATGCAGAAGACTTTGACAGAGATTCCTGCAGAACAACAATAGTAAGCAAACAACCAGCGCTGTGATATATCAATAAACAAACCACATTTACAGGTACACCGACTGAAATATGGCACAAACAAGTGGGAACATAAAACAGAAAATACTTCATCTAATTAAGTGTATCAAATAACTTGTAGTAACTCATCTACATTAATTAAGTATACCATACTACAACAACCGCTCCTCAGAATAAATAGTGTGCTACCAGCACACTATTTACTGTGCTCATAGTGCAACTAGAGGTTCGTATCGATATCTAATGCAGTCCCTAAGTGGACTTAATAATTAGTTCAAATAAATGATTGAGACAGAACGTCCAGCATCTTTTCAGTTCGATTTGGCTTTGCTCCTTCTTGCAAATAAGGTTGTTTCCATTTTTGTCTTATTTTAATCAGTTATATGTTTCCCAGCATAAAGCACCAAGTCGAGGCGCAGCGTGATTATTTTACAACTGCTGCACTGTCATCTTGTGGCTATGTGCGTTACTGCATTACTCCTGTGGAAGAGCAAAAGTCCTGGAACGGGACGCTCATGCACATGATCGCTATTGGTTTGTGGTTTCAATCTATGTCTAAATTTAGAGATGTGATCTGTTCAAAAATCTAAATATTTCTTGTTAACTTTACAGCCATTCATTCAAATGGCGTCTTGTTCAGTGTACAGGCCTTTACCAGCACAGAAAAAAACTGTCGAAACAGAAATGGTATTCATTTACTGACGCATTTTAATGCGCAAAACAAACAAAACACACATTTCTACTTTTTGCTCAGAAATATGTCAGAAAGCTACACTGCACAGAGTATTCTCTGTAACCTTTAGCTGCTGCCTCGACATCCTGTTGAGCAGAGGCTGAGGGAAGACCCCGATTCAGGGCTTTAAGAAGAAGTAATTGAAGGTTATTCTGAGTGTCCTTTCTTAAGCACATTTTCTCATTAAAAGAAATAGATTGTGAATTATTGGGTTTCACCAACTATTCAAAAAGGTGTCTTTTTCCCCACCCCCCAGCTTACTTCCAGAAGCACACGTTCAAAATCTAGGTTACCTTTAGTGCAGGAGTAGCTTATGGAGTTTGTTCTCTCAGAACATCAGGAATAGTTGACTCTGAATCTGTTCTGCACCTCCAAGCCCCTCACATTCCCCACACATACCTTGTTTCAAATAGTCGTAATTTCTTTCTCATTTTAGCTGAAAATACACTAAATTATACCTGCACAAGCCCCCTCAACCAAAAGATGAGTTGTCATACATTTGCTCGTTTAGAAACTTCTCTAAAGGAAAGTGCAGAAAGGGAAGATTGCGGTTTTGGAGATTGAACCTTTTGATCTCCCACAAAGCAAAACCTCAAGGGACATTTCTGTTCATATCTCCAACTCAGCAACTCTGAAATGTCAACTTTTGATTAAAGATGCAGGAAATGTGTAAAAATAAATGTGCTCTGATCAGGTGAGATAGAAATTTCACTTTTTGGACCGCGTGAAAATTACTATATGGGCAAAACCAGCACTACATAAATCATCTTGCTGTGAAACAAGGAAATGATTTTCTTCTGTGAGGAAAAAAAAACTGGGAAATGTTCGTGGGACGATGCTCAGCTAAATACCAATGTCAGTACGACAACAGTAGGGTGCTGAAATGGTCCAGTCAAAGTCCAGACCAAAATCAAACCGAGAGTCTGATGCAAAACTTAACAGCTGGCGGTTTTACATAATGCTCTCCAACCAGAGCATTATGACTGAACCTGAATTATTCTGTGGAGGATCTTGAGGAAAAATAATGTGTTTTAGAAACACATTATTTTGATCACGTTTGTGATTAAAACGTGATCAAACGTGAAACCCCCAGCGCCGCATACCTCACTCATTCTGCATGTTTCGATTGGCAGTACCTCTCTGCGCCGCTAGATGCCGCTGTCGCCTCTGCGTTGTGTCTGCTGGAGCAGCAGGGGGGCTAGATGTGGACTGTAGAGGACTCCTGCGGTGTGTGTGTGGACAGGGGGTGCGTGTGTGTTTTTGAGTCTGTTGGAGGCTCGTCGAGCAGCAGCAGCAGCAGGAGGAGGAGGAGGAGGAGGAGCAAGAGGACTTGAAAACTTCACTGCGTCCAGCTGGAGACATTTTCATCCGGGGAGATTTCTGCGCCTGTCGGAGCCGAGTCGGCACCTTTTGTAGTCCAGCCGTGTCCGTCAGAGAGAGGGACCGGTCCGGTTCTCGTCGCTGGAACCATTTCCGGCGTCCAACATGGATGATTTGGGTAAGTTCTGTCGGCGAGAGGGCGACGTTAAAGCAGCGCGTGCGCCTACGTGGGCAAAACGGGCACAATGCTGAGAATATCGGGGCTTTTATTTATTTTTTAACCCTCGGGAAGTCTGCTAATGAAGCCGCTGTCGCATTCATTGGAGACGATGAACGCTTACATTAAAGCGGCGGCAGGCGGACGGGAGAAAGCAGGACGCGTGGATAACCAGGTTTCTGGTGTTTAGCTGCACGGTGTTTATAAGCTGAAAGGTTCTGCTGCTGCATTGGTGGCGGTGCTGTGTGGGGAAAGTTAATATGTTAGTCTGGCGTTGGGTTTCCTCAACTTATTGATCCTCAGACCAACATGTGATATAATCATTCCAGTAGGAACCTGGTGGTTGTCACGACAGGAATCCGGGCTGCTGGTCGGACAACGATGATTTCTGATGAATACATTGTTGTGGGCAGACTCAGTGAGTCGTGCACTTTAAATGCAAACCCTGAGGGGACAGGCTGCGGTGACAGGGAGGCTCAGCGGAGTTCTCCATCATCCACCCCCCCTCCCTTTCTTCTTGCTGTACTTTGACTAGACACATTTCTCGAATAAGACTCACTGTATGCAATGCCTTGTGAAAGTTCACACCATTTCAACTTATTTTCACCTTTTGTCTGGGTACAGAGACACATTTCCATGTATTTTTTGGGGGGGTGAGAGAGAGGTTATATCTAAAAGTAAATGCTGTGAATCTGAATTAATTTCTGCATGTTTCGTTTGGCAGTTGACCTTTATTTAGCTCCGGCCATCTTCCCATCAACTCTGAACTGTTTCCCTGTCCAAATTGAAGAAAATTATCCCCCTGTCATGATGCTGCCATCACTGTGTTTCACTAAGGGGAAGGTGTTTCTATGTGTGTATATATACACACACACACACACACACATTAGGCCACATGTAGGATTTTGCATGTAAGCCAGACTGATAACTACTTTATATAGTTATCAGAGTAACTCTGGCTGACGTTTGCAGCCCTCACTCCCACCTACTATCACTTCGTCATGTCACAACCAGCTCTGAAGTCAGTGGTTATAAAGTGACACAATGACAATTTTCTTCCAAATACTTTTGCAAAGCAGGTCGACTGCATTAGTGTAAATTAAAAACCTGAACCGTCCCACACACAGTTCCCTCGTCTCTGGAACGGTTTTTGCCCCCTGGTGACTGGTAGGATAAGTTTAGCAGGACATCCGTGAAATGCATTTCAGGACTCGAGTTCATGTGCTAAAAAAACACCCGAATGCGTTTGTGAAGTCAAAGATGATGAGTGTGTCGCAAAAGCTGTCCAAGAAATGCTATGCTCCCCTTGCCCCCACTGTGAGCTAAGGTGGCGTTTCTATTAAACAACAGACACTTGTGTCAAAGAGAGCGTTCAGGAGTTTTAAAATGAGGCTTTGTTGAAAGATTGACATTAAACGTCTTACCTGGAGTCGGTAACTCCAATGGCTTTGTCATTTGGCATAAAAACAAATTAGTTGGAGCTAATAGCTAGTCTGAGAGAAGCCGAAGTGGTCCTCTACCATTTTAAGAAGACTCTGATCTAAAAGAAAATCAATAGCTTTTACTTTTTATGTATAAATATGAACTTATGAACTGTTAAATAATTGTCATTTACTTGGACAGCAACTTACAGAGAAGCTGACGATCTAAACAGGAAACGGAGGTAGAACACAGGGTTGTACCAACGATGCTGCTGTGTGAAACATATTTGTGGTCTGAGTAACCATCTGATAAAAATAAGTCAGGCTGTGGAAAAAGAAAATCAGATATGTTCTGTTCAGTTTTTTTTTACTATTACACCAGTTTACTTTTTCATCTGACAGTTTGTCTGATCGCATATTTCAAGGGGCTTCAATAAAGGGGGAATAAATCCTGAATAATAGCTTGCCCTACAGTGACCCACATCAGCTGATTTTAACAATTTAAAGCAACTCAAATCAAAATATTTCACATCTGTCTGATTCAACGCCGTAGTGGTGGACAATGAGCATCAACGCTCATTGTTGACTACTGCGGATATGGTAGTTTAGTTTTTTTCTGTTTTATCAGCCAAACAACGTCACTACATTGGCCGTCAACTGAGGTCTTTATGGACAATTGCAAGATCTGATAAAACCCCAAAAATGGCCCATCACTAAATTAAAAAACATCTAAATGAAGAAAAATAAAGACTCTCCTGAAAGTGTATACGATTACTATCCCATAATGTAGTATAATATCCCATAAACATAATTTTCCACTTGAGATTTTTTTTTTTTGTTAAAACAAAAAGACCAATAATATCTTCACTGTCTTTATGAGTCTGGTTTTGGTTAAGCCGTCCATTAGCCTTAGCCTCCACCTTTTCTAGCATCAAGTGAAGGTGCTTGAACTCTTGAACCCTCACTTCACAAACATGACATTCTCCTTCAAGTCAGAGGACGTGTTTTGGTTCAGAAATTTTAAAGGACAGCTCAGTTTTTTGAGCTAAAACTTATTCCCCTGGTGAATATCTTGTCATTGGTGGGAGTGACAGTGAAGCCGGATCGTTGGCTAGTCTATATCCAGTCAGTATTTATGGGCATCTTCTCGGCTTACAGCTGGTACGGGGCTCTCCTTAAAGTAGCTGCTTCAAAAATATGTGTTACACAACCCAGTGTAATTACCATGTCACAAGGCTGTAAATTCTGTCATCGGTTTAGGAACCAGGCAGAAATGTGGCACACAAACAAAGAAACACACTCAAGTGGTCCATGCTCTTTCATTGGGAATAATATCAAAGCTGTAGTGGGGTCTGTTGGTTTTGTTTTTTTTTATATCTGGTTTGATGAAAGTGGAGTGCTTTCATCCAGGGTGATGAGGCACCATGGAGATCCATCAGCACAACCTGCTCCTATTTTTAAACCTATATCCCTGCGTCTTAAGAGCTGAGCCAGCACCACCGAGAATCCTGCCACCAGGTCTTCCCCCAGCCTGTTCCCCACTTTCCATCACTTTGCCTTCCTACTTCCCACATCCTCCCAGCAGCTCTCTGATGGAAGTCGAGATTCTAACCCAGAAAGCTCTTTTCCCAGCCTCAGTTTTCTTTTTACCCTTCAGTTTTATTTATTTATTCTTTTTGTAGAGCAGAGCAGATCCTACAGGCAGGGTTTTGGGAGAGAATGGATCTCAGCCAACATTTATCCGCCGCTATAATGCCCCACCCTCTCTTTTCCCACTCCCCACCATTCCTGTGGTTGCGCCGCGCAGGAAACCGAAGCCCTGCGATCCATCGACAGTCCAAAGGAGAGATAAGCCTTTATTGTGAGAGTCAGATGCAGGCGGATTGAAAAGGGTGCGAGAAAAGCTTTGTTTTAGTATGCCAGGTGTGCGTTTATCTGCATTTCATATCGTTCTTGCGGGATTTTGCTTCTCAGAATCCGAGGCTCGCTCTCGGGCAAACTTTCACTGACCCCCACTCCCCCCTCTTCTTCTCCTCAGTTATCAGCACCGCCAAGCGCTGCTTCTTGCTTCACCGCTCTGGGCCTGCACCGACAAGACATGAATGTCAACGAGCCCCCCCTGACGTTTATTTTATTTTATTGACTATGATGATCTGCGCCTTTTTATTGCTTGCTGTTTATGTGCACCTGCGAATACAGTAGCCTCGGATCGCTCTCTATCTCTCTCTGATGCCACTTTGGTGACATCGTGAGCTAAGAGGCTTGTCAGCACAGCAGCTTCAGCGTTAGAAATGTCACTCAAGTTGCGGGAGTGAGGAGAGGAGTTCTTTACCAGAGGAGATCTGGAGTAACCCAGATACTCGGATGGCTCTAAATTTAGTTTGATTTGTTGTTTGCAGACCGACGGGAACATCAAAAGCGTTTCTCCTTTTGTGTTACACTCAGCATCAAACTGAAAGGCGCATCTAATTTCTGCATGAGGGCATTTTCTTGTTTTTAAGTTTAGTCCTACAATACGGGCCTGATTGCATTTGGGTTTTATAGTATCCTGTAGTATTTAACGTTGTTTTATGAATGGTGTGGACTCATGTCTGTCACTGAGGCTGATGGAAGGAACTCATATGAAGCAATCTGTTGCCAGTGTGCTACCATCACCTATCCTATACCGCAGAGTGAACATGATGCTATGCAGTACACCAAGGTACAAGAGAGGGGTTTTTTTTAGCTGTGGTTCCTCTACAGCTGACACTTCTCTTTTGCAGCTAAATAAGCATCAAATTTCTCTACATTTCTTTGTTTGTTGTGAAAAATTCTTACAAATGTTTTAAAACTCAGCTGGTGGCCCAATGAGATCCTTCCAGCTTCTGATCCACTAAATGAAAATCTGAGATTTTTATGACTCCAACTCTTGGTTAAGCACACACACTTTTTTTTACAGCTGGATATAAACTGGCCCTAAGTCAACAGCCAATTTATTGATCCTTTTATTTATTTTCAAGCACATGAAATTCGGTGAAACTGTAAGAAAATGGACGTTGTGCAGAGCTAAGCCATTATAACAGAAACCATAAAATGAAGATTCTTGTATCTTGAAATACTTGGATCAAAGTTCAAGAAACCTTGAACTTTGAGGCTTGAGGTTCCCTTTTTTATATTAAAAAAACTGCACTTCTTCTTTGAAGCTGACAGAAACGCGTCGGTCTGCGGTGACAAAGGCCGACGCTGCAACACACCAGCCTGCGCTGTGTGATAATTTCTCTGGGCTTAAGACGCATCAAACGCACACCGCCAGAGCAGGAGCCAAAGGCCCAAACGCAGTATCTCCGTATGGGTTTGTCCATCTGCTTGACTTGAAAATCAAAATGCTACAGGGCTTTGAAGCATATGGTGTACGGTACACACACACACACACACATGGTCAGACGCACACGAGCCCAAACTTAAGCACGCTCATGATCACAGACTGCTGGTGTGGACAGACAGCTCCGTTAGGGCAGCTGACTAAGCAGCAGCTTGACGCTCAGCCGACCGTCATGTCAT